CGCGCTCTCTTCATCCTCCCTCCCCCCCCCCCCCCCCCCCCGAGCTGGCGGGACACAGCAGTATCTCTCTTGCAGGAGGTCACTGGAGGTTGACCTTAGAAATGTTCCTCACACGTCCTCGGCCTGAGCTGCCACGCCCCCCTCAGGCCCCGCACCAGATGGAAAGTGCGGCCGCATTTTTAAAGCCTGCGCACAGGGCTGCAGGCTGTTGCGCTGGCACTGGGGCTGAAGGAATGAAATATTCATGTAGCCCCAAAAATGAATGGACACCCTGGGACGGAGAGCGTGCCGATTTATTCAACTAAGACCGGGCCTCATTGCGCTGCTGGCGACGAGGCAGGTCATGGTGATTTTCTTCACCACTGCTCGACCCCGACTGTCACGAACTAAGAGAAAGGGCCCCTGAATGCAAAAGTTGTTCTAGAAACCACCAGCACATCAGAGATCTCCCACCGGACAGGTCTGCGCCGCTCCTCTCCTGTAACTGATGACCTAATGAGTGATTAGCTCCTCTGTCAGAGCTGTGAGGGTGGAAGCTGAGTTGTGGCTGCGCGCAGCATATGGGAGACGAGGGGAGACACTGGTTGTGGCAGAGGTGTGTAGCTTATGTGGGGTGCCAGGGGACACCAGCTGATAGGCACGGGGGCCAACCCAAACCCGCATTTGTAGCCTAATTATTTGTTCTCACTTAAGAAATAAAATCTTAATCCTATAGCTAAACAGCAACAGCAGCAACAATAATAATACTAAGGATGATGGTGGATAGATGGAGGTTTCCATTGCGGCTTACGCTTGTTTTGAGCCTTCCTTCCTGCTAAATGATTCTCAAATAGTTGTCAGACAACTTATCAGTTATCATGACTCCGCTATAGACAGGTGTGTCTCAAGCCTTGTCTCCCACCTGTTCGTTTTATTATTCTTCTGCAAATAATCTGCGAAAGACTCTCCACTTTATACTGTTTGTTTGAGAACGCTGCCAGATCCAAGGGTCAGACCCAATTAAGGAGTCAGTTCCTTTGCACATGACAAAGATGTCCAAATTCATTTTCCAGGGATTGAATGTTTGTTCTTAACAGCACCAAACCAAATTTACATAATAACTGATGCACTTGTTTAACCCTTTAAATAACCTTCTAAAAATCTTTCATATCGTGTATAAAACTATTAGGAATTTAGGGGAAATAGATCAGGAAGCTGTAATTTCAAAGTAAATGTAAAGCAATAGTGACGCAGCCACAGACTTTACCGAACAAGTTCATCACAGCATCTTTGCCTTTGAGACGTGCAACCCACGCTCTTAAATGATTAATACTCTCGGCTCCTAACAAGGTCGTGATTGAGTTACAATGCACAATAGAAGAAAAAAGTGGAGCTTTGTTTAATTGTTCTTTGACAGGGTCAGAGGGGACTGTGTGATTGGCTGCTGTCTCCTGAGGCTGCAGGGCTGTCCGAGCTGTTGGAGGGCTGGGAGTGACACCAAGGTGAATGAGGGGAGGCTGTATAAATTGCTGGCGCAGCGCAAACCGCTTCAGAGACGAGGGCATCAGCCAGAATCTTATGCGCGACCTTTCCCTGCCGTGCACGACCACAGGCCATTACAGTAATGACCGCGAAAACAGAGCTTTCAAGCTGGCCAGAGCACGTAGAGGATTTCACCCTGCTGCAGTCTCAGCGAAACCTGGCCCACATCAACTCCAAAAGCTGGATTTCTTCTCATTCAATCTGTGCGTTTTCACGGAGGGACACTCATGGAGCTGCAGATGCTGGCATCTCATTGGAGAAACTTGTGCCAGTGAGTAAAGTGCCTGACTGCGTGTCAGCTGCAGGTATCACGGGGACAGACTATGAGAAGGCAGCGGAGGGAAGCAAGACGAGCCAGTTTGGTCCTCAGAGACACAGGCGCGTCGCAGCCAACGCCAGGGAGAGGAGAAGGATGCACGGCCTAAACAAAGCGTTTGACGAACTGAGGAGTGTCATCCCGTCCCTGGAAAACGAGAAAAAGTTGTCCAAATATGACACCCTCCAGATGGCGCAGATTTACATCACTGAGCTGTCAGAGCTGCTGGCCGGCGTGGTTCAGTCGGAGTGCATGGGTCCCCGTCCAGGCTCAGCGGACAAGCCCTCCAGGAGGAGTCTGATTCATTCTTTCCGGCCAACAGACAGTGCGCAGACCCCAAACCAGCTGAGCGGAGAGCAGCGGGACACCTCCGCCTCCATCGGCCACCTTATCATCGTTGAACCCACATCTGACCTGGGACCACATAAATCAACATCTTCTTCCCATAGCAGTGACGGGGAGTCTTCGCTCCTCAGTGACGTGGAGGAAAGTCACAATGTGAGACAGGAACAGAGAACAATTACCACTGACTTCTGACTGTTCATGCAGCAGTGTCTCTTACAGACGTACCAGCAGAATATAAATATTACAGCTTGTAGAAATGTTGACCATGTGTAATAGCCTTACATGTATTCTCCTGTCATGATGAATAGCTTAGATAATACACTGCCAAATGAAAAAAGTACAAGTATCAAACATCTATTGACATCTGGAGGCTTTTACATCCTAAGGCCATGTTGAACTCCCATATGGCTTTTTATATGCACTTTATACATCCTAACTCATCACTAAAAACATTACCAGTGTCATTGGTGACATTTGTCTAACTTAAAAATGATTATTTTATTTATGTATAGCTATGGGGTATTTTATGAGGATTGTTTAGCTACAATAAATATATACTTATGACAAAAATGTGTATTTTAAGTTGATTTGTATATTTTAATTAGCAATGCATTGTTGTATAATGAGTAAGTTGCACTTCAATATTTCTACCATGGAAAGCAGACTGAAGCATCCAGATGCAAAATGCAATATTCACACCAAAACACAAGTTGATTCTTGGCTTTTCACAACACCATTTGAATACTCTTTTGGCAGTAACGATCACAGAAAAATTTCCATACAACAGAATAAGATAAGGACACTTGCAAGCCAACCTCTGATTCCTAATGTTCTCAGTGGCAGCGATTTTAAATAAATTTGAAAAAGAAACTAATTATGCTTTATGACAATCTATCATGGTTAAAATTGCTCCTTTGAGTCTGTCTGTTACTAATATCCTACTGAGAAAATGTGGGGCTGTTCACTCTGGAGGGAAGAGGTGTCTGGAATTTTGCCAGGTCCTTAGAAATGATTTCTGCCAGCCTGTGTTTAAAACTGCCAGGGGCCTCTGTGGGGGTAACATAGAGAGAGGGGTTGATGGCCCCCTCCATCTCTTTCATGTCATCCACTGCCTGTGCCTGAGCATTATACCCTGGTTGGACATAGTTACTCACAGGGGGCTGACGCTGGTATTTGGGCTTGGGTAGGATGTGGGAAGCAGACTGGGAAATAGTGCAAGGAGGAGGCTGGGGTACAGGCTGCAGCTCGGGGTTTGAGGGAGACTTAACTAATTTCACAGTTGAATAGATGTATTCAGAATTGTCCGTCTCTGGTTTGAACTCATCTTTTCTGATCAGGGGAGGAGTGGCCCTCTTAAGGTTGTAATAAATGCTGTCCCCTGTGTCAATATCAAGTTTTAGAGCCTCCAGAGAATGATACTGTTCATCCTCATCCTCATCTTCCTCTCCCACAGCTTCTTTGGTGCAAGAAACATGAGGCTTGACAGAAGACAGCTGCATTAAGTCTAGTTGTGAGGTGTCAGAGGTGTGCTTAATACTAGCATAGAGGTTAGCAGACCCATCCTCTGTGTCAGCAGGA